CTGTGGTTACTCTGTAGTTTACTCTGTAGTGGTTACTCTGTAGTGGTTACTCTGTAGTCATTACTCTGTAGTGGTTACTCTGTAGTGGTTACTCTGTAGTCTTTACTCTGTAGTGGTTACTCTGTAGTGGTTACTCTGTAGTCATTACTCTGTAGTGGTTACTCTGTAGTGGTTACTCTGTAGTGGTTACTCTGTAGTGGTTAGTGGTTACTCTGTAGTGGTTACTCTGTAGTGGTTACTCTGTAGTGGTTACTCTGTAGTGGTTACTCTGTAGTGGTTACTCTGTAGTGGTTAGGGTACTCTTTAGTCATTACTCCGTAGTAGTTAGTGGTTACTCTCTAGTCATTACTCCGTAGTGGTTAGTGGTTACTCTGTAGTGGTTACTCTGTAGTGGTTACTCTGTAGTCTTTACTCTGTATTGGTTACTCTGTAGTCATTACTCTGTAGTGGTTACTCTGTAGTGGTTACTCTGTAGTCATTACTCTGTAGTGGTTACTCTGTAGTGGTTACTCTGTAGTGGTTACTCTGAAGTGGTTAGTGGTTACTCTGTAGTGGTTACTCTGTAGTGGTTACTCTGTAGTGGTTACTCTGTAGTGGTTACTCTGAAGTGGTTAGTGGTTACTCTGTAGTCATTACTCTGTAGTGGTTAGTGGTTACTCTGTAGTGGTTAGTGGTTACTCTGTAGTGGTTACTCTGTAGGTTGAAATGGGTTTTTATAAACGCGGAGTAAGAAGTACGATATCTGACTGTAGAAATATAAAGTATATTTAAACTGAAATACTCAAGTAAAGTACACATTTGTCAACAAAGTACTTAAGTACAAGACTTGAGTCCATGTACTCAGTTACTATGCTAGATAGATGACGTTTTCTATTTTTCCAAAAGTTCAGACTTTATAATGAAATTCTCAAAATTCAGACTTAATTCTGAACATTTCCGAATTCTTAATTTTTACAGAATATCTCAGAATTGTGATATTTTTCCAAAATGTTTATCTTTATTATACATTTCAACATGAGCTTTATGCATATTGCTCACTGTGTTTATCGATCAGTTCTTACAGGCATGTCACACGTTTGATGTCACATGTTCTGCAATAAAAGTAGCACCCAGAGATGAGTCATTATTCCTGTTAACGAGCTCACGAGGTTAACGAGCCGTCAGTGACTGTGCTGAGTGTTGCATTGTGGGAGTGGTTGCTGAAAGGAGACAGTGGGCCCATTGACTCTGGGAACAGACCCCCTGTTGTGAGAGACTCTGAGGTCTCTGCATGATAACTAAAGCTTCACTAATGTTGTGCCCCCTGTCGCCCCCTGCTGTTCATTTGACTTGGTGTTTATCCTTTTGTTTCCCCCCCTTCAGGCGAAGAAGCCTCTTTGCCTTCCTTACCCTCCTGCCGTCCTGCCTCTGGACTGACTATCTTTTGGCTTTTTATATTAATCCTTGGTAAGTGATCACCTAAAGCCACAGGTCACAGTATCCTCAGAGACACTGTTCCACTCTCTGGAGACACGTTTAATACGAGGTCATCGTTTGCATTGTCACCTGATGTCAACTAGTCCCAGGGACACCGACCTCAAGTTTCACAAAGAAGTGGAAAAAGGGAATTTATCATTTTTTATAATAAATCAAAAACATTTATAAATAAAGAAAAACTGAAACTTTTCTCCGGGATTCAAAACGTACATTTTTATCAGAAAATATATTTTTACACAGACATTTGCAAAAACATGATTTCTATGAAAGATATTTAGGAATATATATCATCTCTTTAAAAGAAGAAAATAGAATCATGAAAACACACGAATGTAGAAGAAAATATATCACAACTTGCAGACTTCAGACGAGGATACAAATCACAGAGTAAATATTGAATCCCAGAGATGTACATTGTTGAGTTTTATTATTATTAAGTAAATTATTACTAAATTATTGACAAGAGCCAATCACAGGAAACCACCGACTCTTATTTTCAAATTTAAAAATGTCCTCTTTAAAGTTCAGTTTGATTGACGGGGAAACAGGAAGTCAGCAGACATTGAACTTTGTCCTGCGATGCTGTGTCTGTGGTCTCACAGATATAACCTGTGGACGTAGCACGATGCTAACTGTGATGCTAACTGTGATGCTAACTGAGGCTAACTGTTGATGCTAACTGTGATGCTAACTGTGATGCTAACTGTGATGCTAACTGTGATGCTAACTGTTGATGCTAACTGTGATGCTAACTGTGATGCTAACTGTGATGCTAACTACGCTCTGCATGCCGTCAGTCTTTCTCTTGTTTCTTTTTAAACTAAAGATTTCTCTGAGCTCTGATTGGCTGATTATTCTGTATATTCTGTTCGGTGTGCATGTTCCTGGTTAAAACTTTAACATGTGACGGTGTACTCGGGCCATTGTAGGTACACATAAATAGATAAATATGGCGCCATAAAAGGGATGTAAAAATCTGAATTTCCAGATTAAAGTTGAATTTAAAGTAAAAAATGTTCAAGATATTTTAAACTGATTAATTTTCAAGAAAAAAAATGCAATTTCCATGAAAGCAAAGCAGATGTGAGTATGGAAGAGGATTAGGGACACTGAGATTAAAGTCAGAATTCAGACTTTTAATTTTTTTAATTTTAGATTTTTCTCAAAAAAGTCAGAACTCGGAAAACACTTTTTTTTCTTTTCAGAATGTTGATATTTTTTCAGAATTCTGACTAATATCAGAATGTTGACCCTTCCTCTAATCCCCCCCGATAACAATGGCCCTGACACACCGTCGGTCGTTTTGAAATCACTCAGAGATTCAATCTTTAAAAACAGAAGCGTGAGGTTTGCATGTTTGATATTTAGCTTTCTTTAAAGTATTAATCTTTTAAACGAACGAGAGCTGAGCATGATATTAATCTCTGTAAAATAAGGTTAGTTATTTTAAAGGGTTCAACTGATGGATGGGTTTCATACAACCAAGAGAAACAAACGTACATTTTTAAATGTTTGAAAAAGCATCCAAAAATGTATATTAGTATTTTTTTATTTTTAAATGAAACTTGACAAGACATTTATTTACTGATTTTAATAAAGTTTAAACAACATCAAATTAAATAACCTTTAAGTTATATTGTTGATGTCTTATTTTACATTTGAAAGCACAATAACAATACCTCCATCGGTCTAGCCCTCCTGTCTCAGGTGGTCCTGTCTCAGGTGTTCCTGTCTCAGGTGCTCCTGTCTCAGGTGCTCCTGTCTCAGGTGGTCCTGTCTCAGGTGTTCCTGTCTCAGGTGCTCCTGTCTCAGGTGGTCCTGTCTCAGGTGGTCCTGTCTCAGGTGGTCCTGTCTCAGGTGCTCCTGTCTCAGGTGGTCCTGTCTCAGGTGTTCCTGTCTCAGGTGGTCCTGTCTCAGGTGCTCCTGTCTCAGGTGCTCCTGTCTCAGGTGTTCCTGTCTCAGGTGGTCCTGTCTCAGGTGCTCCTGTCTCAGGTGCTCCTGTCTCAGGTGTTCCTGTCTCAGGTGTTCCTGTCTCAGGTGGTCCTGTCTCAGGTGCTCCTGTCTCAGGTGTCTCAGGTGCTTCCTGTCTCAGGTGCTCCTTTCTCAGGTGCTCCTGTCTCAGGTGGTCCTGTCTCAGGTGGTCCTGTCTCAGGTGCTCCTGTCTCAGGTGCTCCTGTCTCAGGTGTTCCTGTCTCAGGTGCTCCTGTCTCAGGTGCTCCTTTCTCAGGTGCTCCTGTCTCAGGTGGTCCTGTCTCAGGTGGTCCTGTCTCAGGTGGTCCTGTCTCAGGTGCTCCTTTCTCAGGTGCTCCTTTCTCAGGTGGTCCTGTCTCAGGTGTCTCAGGTGTCTCAGGTGTTCCTGTCTCAGGTGTTCCTGTCTCAGGTGCTCCTGTCTCAGGTGTTCCTGTCTCAGGTGTTCCTGTCTCAGGTGTTCCTGTCTCAGGTGCTCCTGTCTCAGGTGGTCCTGTCTCAGGTGTTCCTGTCTCAGGTGGTCCTGTCTCAGGTGCTCCTGTCTCAGGTGTTCCTGTCTCAGGTGGTCCTGTCTCAGGTGCTCCTTTCTCAGGTGTTCCTGTCTCAGGTGTTCCTGTCTCAGGTGCTCCTGTCTCAGGTGGTCCTGTCTCAGGTGCTCCTGTCTCAGGTGTTCCTGTCTCAGGTGTTCCTGTCTCAGGTGCTCCTGTCTCAGGTGTTCCTGTCTCAGGTGCTCCTGTCTCAGTTGCTCCTGTCTAATATTTATTTATTATATTCTTTATTCTGTCCGTTTCTCATCGTGATGATTTTTTTAACCTTTGTATTTGTTTAGGAGCAAGACAGCTTTAAAGAAGCGGAAACTAACCAGGTAACATCTAACGCTTCTTCATCCTCCTCCTCCTCCTCCTCTTCGTGTGTGTGTGTGTGTGTGTGTGTGTGTGTGTGTGTGTGTGTGTGTGTGTG